GAATTTTACAAGACATTTAAAGAAGAAATAATGCCATTACTGTTTAAACTCATCAAGGAAATTGAAAAGGAAGCAATACTTCCAAATTCATTCCTGGAAGCAAGTATTACTTTGATTCCAAAACCAGGGAAAGACCCAACCCAAAAAGAGAACTACAGGCCAATCTCCCTGATGAACACAGATGAAAAATTCCTCAACAAGATACTGGCAAACAGAATACAGAGAATCATCAAGAAGATCATACACCATGACCAAGTCAGATTTATCCCAGGGATGCAAGGATGGTTCAACATTCATAAATCAATAAATGTAATACACCATATTAACAGAGTCAAGGACAAAAACCATATGATCATCTCAATAGATGTAGAAAAAGCATTTGACAAAATCCAGCACCCATTCATGATAAAATCTTTCTGTATTTTTAAATGACTTTCAGAGTAAGTTTCTATGTTTATTCAATGCCGCTTCACTTTCTATGATAAGCAAAATGAGAGTAGAGAGCATATGCTTTGCACTGTACAATATCCCAGTACAGGGTAGAAAGAAGAAGACAGGAAGGAAGGTCTTCCAGTGTTATTTTTACATCTTTGTAATCTACTTCAATAACTTTTTAAAGCTTTATCTGTTCTTTCTCCACTTTGCATTGTAAAAATTAATAACAAAGAAAGTATCTTAGAATAAGAAACTGATTAATTATTTTCACTGTATTTCATCTTATAGATGTATCACTGGCCACAGGAAATCTGTACAGCTCTTGTGACTGTAGAAATTGTCCATGCATCCTGCCTGGGACTCACAGACCATGTCTACACTTCTTACCCAGTTTCTGGACTCACATATTTTGAGCTCAAGAAACCTAGCAACTTCAAGCATCCTCCTTGTGTGTCTACCACTTTGTGTTCTAGCCACACCATTCTAATATTTATACACTCTTTCCCTAACACATGAATTGATTGCCCAGTTGCTTCCTCTTAAAAACCCAGTCTCCTTGGAGTACTTCCATTTCTCTTTGTGGATAATTTCTATTCATCTTTTTAGTGGATAAAAATTATTCAAATTGATTAGAGCTATTCAAACATTGTTAAACTTTCCAAAGAGGTTTTCAGAGAGTTAATCTTTAGAGAAATATATGTATCAACTATCTCTGAAAATTCCCCAAGGAAGACTTAAAAATAACTGTAAAGAGTAGCCCAACCTCTTCACTTTGCACCCAAAGAAACTGAGACACAGAGTAAAAGCTACTGCCCAAAGCCATACTATCCTAGGTGACAGGGTCAAGACAAACCACTCATCTCTTGCCAATCTCTGTAATGGTGTCCCCATTAGCCTTTCATTCAGACCATTCTGGACAAATGTGCTAATCTTTCTGAGTCTAAATTTACAATTGAGAATAAATGCTGGCATGGTGGTGCCTGGCTGTAACCCCAGCTACTCTGGAGAGGGAGGCTAGCACAAGAGAATCACAAGTTTGAGACCAGCTTGGCCAATTTAGCAAACTCTACCTCAAAATATAAAATGTAAAGGATTAGGCGTGTAATCCAGTGTTAGAATACCCTGGGTTCAATCCACAGTATAAAAAGTGGAGAATAAAACTGGATAATCCAGATTAGTGCTTATCTTTCCTTTTTTCATCATTATTTGATTCTCTATTCGGCTTTCTTGTCTGTACACCATGAGTTCCTACTTTCAGAAAGAGCTAACACTATAATTCTTAAGGTGTGCTCTGTCTTCTTCCTAGAATGTTCTTCCTATAGGTGGTTAAGGGTTAACTAACTCCCCTTGCAATACTTTTTGAAAAGTCACCTTCACTGTCTACCTACTTTAAATTTCAACCTCACCCTCAGCTCAAATTCCTACTGTATTTTTTCAATCTTTAGTCTTTATAACAGTCCAACATACCATATCTTTAACTTATTTCTGTTATTTTTCATTTTTCCTCACTAAAATTTAAACTTTGTGAGTGCACAGAAATTATTCTACTGTGTTCTCTACTATATCCCAAAATCCTAGAATAGTGCCTGGGATGTAGGAGATTTGTGCAATTGACTTAATAAATGACTAAGTTAATATCTAATATAATGCCTTTTAGTGATATTTGCAATTTAAGCAAAATAAAACTGTAAATAAATAATGATGAAGACACTGTCTTATATGGAGTGGTGAGGGAATGCTTCTCTATAAAGGTAACTTACTTTTGAATAGAGACATGAATGAGACATGAATGAAGTGAAAAAAATGAATCCAGCTAATGGTCAAACATTCTAGACAGACGAAGGCCTGATCAAAGGCCCTGAGGCCACCTTGTATTTGGCAGACTCTTTTAACATGAAGAAAGTCCTTGTGACTGACGCAGAAGAGTGAGGCAAAGAGAGTTAGGAGATAAAATGAAATAAATTATTCAGCCCATTCCAGAAAAGCCTGGTGAGGAATTTGAATCTGATAACCAGACAGTCTACCAAACTGAAATGTTGGAAGATTTGCAGAATATTGGAAAGTGCACAGTATTCACTGTAAGTCATTTATTATATACCACAGATTGATTCATATTTAGAAGTTACAAGTGAGTGCAATGAAAAGAGAAATGAGCATTCAATTTTCTTCTTCAATTACATGATTAATGATGATGACAGCAAGATACACAGAGATAGAAAGCAACTTAAGTTGAAAAGGGCCATACAGAAAACTTTACTTGAGAGAGAGGAGAGACTAATAAAGGGTGGAAAAGAGTCTTGTTTTTTTAAAGACACATCACATGTAGCAGCCACACTAAAAAACAGTGTAAAAAATTCCCCTACATTATGCATTTTTCTGCATTCATATTGTGCTTTTATACTGTATAGTGGAATTTTAAAAAAATAACTGGACATTGTCAAAAAAGTGTTTATTTTAAGCAGCTGTTTGATCTCACAAACATACCAAAACATGAGCCAGGTCATTCCACTTCTGTAAAACATACTCTCTTGACGGAAATAATCTATTATTGTTGATAACCTCAATCCAAATTCTGTATATTTTTATATGCATCCTAAGCAAGAGGGTAAGTGGTAAAATTAAAGGTTGTGCTTTGTCATGTACCTTATTCATGAAGATTTCCTATTATTCATTTTCTACATTCAAGCTCATTCTCTCAATGTTTAGTAAATATGATGTCATTTCTAAGAGAAAATTTTCAAATCATCTAGCGTCTCCCCTTAAAGATGAGAGTCATTTCAATATGACACCAGAACATCTTCTCTCAGCTCTTACACAGAAAGATGAGGTCGTTTGTCAAAACACTCAAACTGTGTCGGAGGGTTTCTAAAACTAGAGGTCATGCTTATACTTCACTATTTAGTTCAGGGTTTGTGTCAGTGAGCCTCTAATATACTTAACAGGTTTTAACTTGTCAAATTAAAACCATACACTATATGTAATGGAACACAAAAGCTCTAGGAATTAGCTGAAGAAATTCACATGGAATTAGTAGAATATGTAGTCTCTTCATCATTTTACTTGTCCAAAGGGCACAGCAATTGGGCAGATCGCCTACCATACATTGTAAATTAATTCCATTCATTCTGAAAACTTGTTAGTTATTTCCTTACTTTGAATTTTGGCCGCCCTAATTAATCGCCGTTGGAGAATTCAGGCACTTGAGCCTCTGCAAGGGGTGCACTTTTTCCAGCTCGTAATCACAAACTCCTGACAGACAAGAGCCGAAAGCAACGGCTCCTTCACACTTTCAGCTGCACCTCGAGTCCGAATCCTCGGCGACAGACTTTCTGTCTCTGATTCCTGGGCTGAGTCCTCCTTGAGAGCAATGCCTGGGTGAAGACTAAGACAGATGACTTGCCTTAGTCTGGCCCTTATCACGGTGAAGCTCTGGCTTGAACACGTAGAGAGCTACGCAGCCCGGGAAGAGTGCTTAGAAGAAACAAAGCACCCAGGGCCACCTCTTCAGGTGACAGCTGCTTTTCCAAGCCCCAGCTCTGTGACACGTGCTGCACTGAGGGACTCTGACTGCATCACCTCACGGGGGCAAAATGAGCCTGACACAAAGAGACCCTGGTGGCCTAGCGCTGCCAGCTCAGGCCTTTGCAGTTAATGCAAGACAGCAGGTTGGGTCCGTAGGGGGCGCCCTGCGATTTGTTATCAGAGTAAAACATCATCGTTTTATCTCAAAGGAATGGAAACTGATTCTTAACCTGGTCTATTCATCCAGAATATATATTCATTCTGTATTCTATCTGACCGTTACTGATTACATTTCTTTAAGTTCATGTAATGATGCAGGGAAATTACTTTTTACCATCAATACTGTGTTTAAAAATGTAGACACTCAAGAAAGAATTGCCACCCAGAAATTCATTTTATTTCTGGGAAATTCCTAAATTATCTCATGAAAACAATCATATACACACAAACAGCATTTTTTCTCTTTCTTGCTTCTTCTGGCAAGGGTGCTGACAGGAGCACAGCCTAGACTCTGTCACAGAGGCGGATGGGCAAGCAAAGTGGTTCTCATGTTTGACAATTCCACATATCTGGAATGAGCTTTGTACCTGGCCAGACAAGGACGCAGAAACTTTCTTTTACATGTACTTCGCGCTTCTTATTCTCCATTGCTCAGTAATCTTAGAATAGCTTTACTCCAAGGATCTATGTGCTTTAGTATCTCATATGGCCTAATAGAACTTGCATTTGTTAGGGTATCAACATAGCAATGAAAAGGTAGTGAGAAAATACAATTTTAAGGTTTGACATCTAGGGCCGGGGATGTAGCTCAATGGTTCTGCCGCTTGCCTCACAAGCGGAGTAAAAGTTATTCCACATTAGTCTATTTACCCTTCTCTGTTTCAAATGTTGAAAAATCCAAAAAATGTTTCAAAGAAGAATGAGGTGGCAAAGGAAAGGAAAGGAGAAGAAAAAGAAGAGGAAGAAGGATAAGGGAAGGAGAAAAGGAGGAGGCAGGAGGTGGAGAAATATATTAGGATGTTTTAGAACTAGGTAACAGCTATTTCATTTATCACAAGGCATAAAGCATTCAACTAACTCTTTGTCCCAGAGAAAAGTAACAAAAAGAATCCATTAAGGATCTCTGCTCTTCAGACAAAAAAAAAATGGACATTTATATTTTATGACATTTTGAGATCAAATGTATTTACCTGTGGGCTCTCTGGAAGAAGTAGGGGGAAGATCTGGGCCGAGATATTGCTTTTTAATGTGGCAACAATGTGATAACACTGGTCTGAAAGAACTGCGAAGTTTTAGCTTCTTAAAAACATTTAAGTAAGAAAAAATAAAGAGAGAAAAGCAAAAGAGGAGATGTGTATTGTTGTAGTGAAACATTCTAGACTCTACATGTTATCACTGAACTTAGACAAATAAATTTAAAAAAGGAATAAGAGCTAGAGCAACAATAAAAGTCTTGAAAGTTGAAAAGTAACTTTTAGACTGACCCAGGAACTTTGCTGAGCCCTTGAAAGAAGAGCAACTGCTGATTTGAAATGGTGCTGGAATGTGCATTGGCACCTGGCTGTGTCTTTAAATTTTTATCGAGTTTTAGGTAAGTCGTGTGTATTTTCTCTCTCCTTTTCCTGTTTCATGAATAAAGTGACTTAATTAGACAGGATGATAAAAATACAAAGAATTGGGCCAAGGATTTAGCTCAGTGGTTCTGTTGCCTGCCCTGCAAGCGCAAGGACCCGAGTTCGATCTCCGGTACCAAAAAAAAAACAAACACAAAGAATTGGAAATTTAAGCAATAATCTATTTTGACTCAAAATAAAATCTTAGAATATGACATATAATAAGTAGAATTTACTTGAATACTTTTCTCCATTTATTTATGAGAAAATTATTGTTAGTTACTTTAGTTTTTATCAGAGAATGTGCATATTTATGTTTTAACTAAATGGAAAATAATACAAATCTATACTCATTTTCAGCTAGTAATCTATATTCAAAGTAGTGTCTATCCATCTAAAGTATAAGTAAACTTCACTCATTGGATATCCACTCCTCATATTCATATACTCTGAAATTAAACCATAAACTTGTATAATTTTGCTTCACAAAGGAAAGCAAAGATAAAGCAATTTTAAAAGGTTGTTTTGTTGGCTTTTTCTCTACTTCAGATCTTATTGATTAGTGTATATTTGACTTAGATGAAGCCTATGCACAAATGGACGTGTATTTATACATCCAGTTGTAAAAATATAAAATTCTACATTAGTAGAATAATGCAAGAGTTAATTCTAAACCGACTTAGGTCTAAAAATCTCAAGAAGGCCATCATTGAGATTAAAGAACAAAACAAGAAAACTCCGCTCAATAACTGCAACTCAGCGCAAGAGAAATGATATCCTCTCATCTAAGGCAGGAATTGAATCCTGGGAAACAGAAAGGTTTAGGTGATTCCAAATCAAGCTTGCTTTTGGCCCCTATACGCCTTGCGCTTGTGGATCTCTCCTGACTGCCTCTAACTGTACCCATCTGTGGCAGTGGCGTCATGCCCACTTTAGAGGTCTCTTTTCTGTCCATCACTCCCTCCCCACATCCCTCCCTCCCTTTCTTCTCTTCTTTTCTCCTCCTTGCTACTTTCTTTCATTCTTGTTTCACTTTACTAAGAAAACTATTTAAGCCAGAGCAGCTTTACATGGAAGTTGGGATTTCAGAAAAATATGTATTTGTGTTTGGGCTTTGATGTGAAATTTCTAAATGATCAGTGGAAGAGGAGGAGTATTGGAGTTTTCAAATTTGCTTCTGAAACTAAGACAAAAATGGGCGTTCCTATCTGGATATTTGTAGTTCAGATTCCAAAGACTTCCTTGTGTTTGCCAGGTTTTGTTACAACTCCCTGCTCGTACTCTCTTGCGAATCCCAAAGCAAACTACAGAACCATAAAGTAAGACAACTGAGCCAGCCTTCAAGTTCAGCTTTACTCCTGCAGAAAATTCCTTTAAAACAGCTCTGGTGTATGTGTAAGGATTTTAGAATCCTGAAAAATATTAAAACAAAGAATGAAGCCTTGAGTTAATATTCAATGGCACGTGTACAGAAACATAAAAATAGGTCAGTTTAAGCAAATCATTAAACTTCACTCACTCACATCTTTCTAAAAAAAGAAACATTCTGTCCCACTTGGAGTCATTGCAAAGACTCAAGGTTATGTAGTTTCAACAAATCTGGAACTTTAAATAATATGTATTCCCCCTTTCTCAGCTCTGTCAACCAATGGACACACACTGCTGTCCTAAGAAGAAATGTCGTGTTTTGGAAACTTATGCTATTTACAAGCATGTAAATATACTGAATTTTAGGAGACATCTGTTTTAAATTTCTCAGTATGCTGTGTATATTTTAATTTCAGTATTTCTCCCCAAGTATTCCACATTTAATAATTAAAGTATATCTAATTTTAGAATTTTACTGCCCATTCCAATAAGATACCTTTGGTAACTATAGAGACTTTCAAACATTATGCTTTTAACATTATATTAGCTTTAACTAAAAGGCTATATTTAAAGGGAGAGGAAAATTGAACTCCTTCCCATTTCTTCTGCCATGTGCCTCAAGCTATTTCCCGTAATAGAAACAAAAGCTTATTTGCCGATATCTTTTTTCTCCAATGGACATGTTTAGCTTTTGGATATCAATTTTCTAATCTCTGAGAAATGATAATATTTTTTCTGGAATGCCTCAAATGTTCTCAATTTAGTATAAGAAAATTATGATAAATTAAAAGTGCTTAAAAGATTTTTCATGAAGCCAATTTACCTTATCAGAGACAGTCTTGCAGTGTGGCTTCACAGAACGGTGTGTTTTCTCCAAGCTTTCAAATCAGTATTATTTGCCAAATTTTGGTGTCATTCATCTGACCTTAATAAAAGTGGATAAAAACTAGAATTGAGAAAGTAAAAGAAACTATAAATGGGTATGTAGGTTAAAAGTTCATGTTTAGTAAACAATTTTTATTTCCCTAAATATGTAAAAAAGGATGTTACCCTCAATTTTTTAGTACAAAATAAAAGCTAAAAATAGACTGAAAAGTAATATATTTTTGTGGCTTTGTTTTCCAAGATGACAGGATTTCTTTGTAAATCACATAAAATGTGCTTGCCTTGTAGTTAAATACAAGCAATGAGGAGAAACTAACTGGGTTGTTTAAATCAATCAATGTGTTTGAAATTATTTTGGGAATGCTGAGACTTTTAAGGTGACTATAATTCTTTTCATTTGTTTACAGGTCAGAATTTCTTCATTTGAGGCATAAGCAAAATCCAATGTAACATTAAGGAAAGCAATTTTAAGCAAAATATGATGACCATACACTAAAATGTAAATAGCTATCTCAAAGAGAAAGCTGCGTTGGGCTATGAAGCTAGAGGCTACACGTCAATGAAATGTTCATCAACTTTTTAGACATTGACATAGTGGAAATTTAATAAAAGAAAAAGATGTAATGAAAAATTGAAGATTCTAAAATTATTTTATGTTGCTTTTAACAATCTTTCTAGTGGTATCTTTTGAAGATAGCTAAAATTATTTCAATAAAAACACACAAACGAGAATGTTAGAATATTTTTCCTTAAGAACATTACAATTGGCAGCTTCTTAGTGAGTAGTAAAGAAGCTTTTGGGGTTCTTTAATTTGGCTAAAGAACAAATTTTCCATTTGTGGAGAATGTTATATAAATATCAATATTTATGTTAATATGACTGACTTTTGGATAAACATATCCTTATACATACATCTGAACACTATTTGCCTCTTAGAGTTAAATGCTTTTGAAGTTGGCACAAATCAGGGACTCCACCACTGATCAAAACCTTTTCGGAATTGCCTTAAATCCAACCGGAGGCATTTTTTAACCTTGCACTTAAAGATACTCAAATAAGAAAATTTCCATCCTTTGAGAATTTTTAAGAATAGCTGAAAAACACTTAATGTTACTAAGTTTGGTACACAAAAAAGCTGATTAGAATAGCTCACAAGACTGGAATATAAAACCAGACTAATTTTATCTGTGCAAAATTAGATACTACTGAAAGTCATTTTTGTGAAAACTGTGTTTCCTCCGAAATAAGACCTAGACAAAAAATAATCAGCCTTGAAAACTAGAGATCAAAAATGCTTGCCCCAGGCAGCCTGTCCTTACCATGCCTGCCATTGCTATTCCCCTGTTCAGAGGCCGCTCTGTCAGCAGGTAAGGTGAATAGGCTGACTGGGGCTGGCATTTTAATCTCTAGTTTTTCAAGGCTGATTATGTTCTAGTTAGGTCTTATTTTCTGGGAAACAGAGAAGAGTAAGATTAGCTGGATTTCTGTCCTGAACACCCAGCTTCATAAAATATGAAAAAGTAATGAGATGAGGAATTAATTTTGTTTACTAGAACTTTCCTGACTGGGTGAATAACATGTGCTTAAAATATTTCGATACCTGGGTGGGGTGAAATACACTACTAAAGATATGTTTTGGTAATAACAGAAGTAGATAAATACATTTCTTAGGAGGACTTTGGTCTACCAGAGGTCTTTAGTGCCTCCTCTATTCTCCTCCATTTTGTCTTTCACTAACAATTAACAAATATGTTCTGTATGAGCCCCAAATTATTGTAATTTCCACATGTCTTGCGGTAACATACAAATATTTTTAAAACTTAAAATAGTATTAGAAGTATACAATTTCCAAAAAGTAACACTATCAATAAAGTTTTTAATGGAAGTTTTGAAAATGTGAATAACTTTGTTCATATCATTAAAAGAAAATATATAGTCCATTTGCACAGAAGAATTCAATTCCTAATTTAATAAAGCATCTTATTAAAGAAAAGGCAGAATTATTTGTCCAAAATTTGGTCCTGTGCATTGCTATATTTCAAGGATTGTGGAGTAAGCTGAGATCATGAGCATTAAATGTGTTTAAACTTTTCTGTGTCTGAACTTTTGTGGGTGACTAGGTTCTGAGACTCAGATTGTAGATTCCAGGACATCCACAAGCATGGGGACCCAAAAGAGAAGTTAGCAAGCTCTGTACTGTTTAACATGAAGTTGGGTAAGTGTGGGACAGGGGGCGAACAGACTGTCAGATTGAATCTCCAGGTATCTACGTGTGCCAGGGAATTGAGGAAGATCAAACACATGTGGAGCACCTACTGTGTCCTAGGAAATACATTAGGTCCATGAGGTCTACAGACTCTGATTCCAAGGGTCTCACTGTCTAGGGAGAAAGATAGACCAAGAAAGAAAAACTTTGATAAGATTCTTAGCATATTTTTTTTCATTTTTAGAAAGCATTTCAGAATTCTATATTCACTTGGTGGACTTGTCTTGAATCTTTTACACTAGCATATTCTTCCCTCATGTTGAAGATCAACTGAAAATATAAGGTGGCCCTTAAGTCTCAGAGTGCATACATAGCACATGAGTTATATTGTTTTCTGGTACAATTTTAAAAAATGATCTTTGGTTAGTAAATATGTGGTTAAAAATGTTAAAAATAGAAATTAATATATCATATATGGAGAGAAGAATAAAAAATAGCTTGGTGGATAGTGACCATAGAATTCTATAACCATATCTATCATAGCTTTTACAAAATTATGCAAAGTTTTTGAGTCTGTATGCCAAATTGAGTATGTTACTCAGTTTTTTATGAGTAAATATTTCTGTCTTCACCCTATGGCTGTGTGACTTGCCAGTTTGTTTAGTCAGCCACTAGGAGGTACTGCATAATTGTGGGTGTATATATATTATTAATGTCTGAAATTTTTGATAACTAAACTTTTTTTTTTCAAAATCTAATTTAGGTATATTTTTTCAGAAGAAATTTAACTCTTTGATCCTATGTGATTTACTCATGGCTAAAAAGCATTAGCTTCATTGCTGGAATGCTGCAGCTGTTTACCAGCTTCCAGCAACTCTAAAGACTAGTTTTAAGACAGGAAACCAGAAAGAGTAGTGTATTTAATTGGAATTTCAGAGGATATTTAGAAAAGCATCTAAATGACTTTGATACAAAATTATCTAGTTAAAACTCTCATGGATTAAAAAATGTAAGCTATAAAACTACTGTATTATTAATGGTACATTAATTGTTGAAAACAGTTCTGCAAATGGGTGATTGTATCAGTTTTTCCTCTGTATTGATTTCCAGTAACCATTTATAATTAATGCAGGAGAGAGGCTGCTTGTAAATTAAATCCAAAAGGCATAATTCTGAAAAGTATAGTACAATTGTATCATGTCTTTGCTAGACACCGGGGGGTTCTACGTGAATTAGTAATGGTGGGAAGGTGTCGTTTCAAGGTTATATGTAATATATTTATTAAGACTGTTTAAATCAAATCATAGTTTTCTGCTTTATTTACCTAATAATATCAAAGATTGTCTACTTCCACTCTAAACAGACTTCCATTTATCATAGGACCTTTTTTGAAAATGTAAGTCATTCAATTTTCTGCAAATATGTAAATATAAGTGGGAAACATCCCAAAAGTGAAGATTTGGACATTTGGATGGAGGAAATTTTTCTTACTTTCTAATTTATCCTTATCTATGGAAGCAGATTTTATCAGATAATTTTTAAGTAACATTCCTTGGAGGAGAAACATTGTTAAGAATATAATGAGTAGTTTAAATCTGTATTATGATATATATATTTAATAAAGAACATCCTCATGTTTCTCTTTTAGAGAAATATAGAGTAACATCTGAATAAAGTCTTTTTCTTTAACCTGGTTTCAGTGACTCAAGGAATATACTGCATTATTAAAATTTTTAAGATAAAATTACTGTGGATTATTAACTAAATATTGACTTGTTCCTGTTCTTTTTTAATGTAAAATGGAGGAAATATAACTAAGCTTTCTAGAATTATTCTCTTCTACTAAGGGAAATTTAAAAATAGAAACTATAAAAATTACAGTCTCAGTAGTAGAAATCATTTATCAGCGTACAAATCAATGTATAAATCTTTTAGACAATTAATCCAAACATGACATAATGACATATATTTGATGAACTAAGGTACTGTATTTGTATAGGATTTATTAAGAAACATAATTTTAGCTGTAATGAAATCTTTTGGCTGAAATCCTTTCTGGTCCACACATCACCTGTGGAGAGAATAGTCACACGCTAGTTACATTAGATACGGTTTTTAAGATATTGCACATCACATCTATTTAGATTATTTATTCTTAAAAGACAAGCTCTTACAAAGGCAATTCTGTTGGGATAAACCATAGTCCATGTAAAATGTATCAGAGTTCATTATTAAAAATTATCAATTTTCATATTTTCTAAATGCAACATAAAATATTACAGTGGTAAGAAATATGTTAATAGAACTGCAGATTTGTACTTTAATTTTCTCAGGTTCTGCTAATTGCATTAAAATTTCAATGTAGAATAGATATCTAGAAAGATATAACTGTTTTATTCAAAAATTCCCACATATCTTACTTTACAATACATTTTATTTACTTTTTACCTTCTTCTACCATCTTAATCATCCAAACATTTCTTTATTACAAACTCAGTGCTTAAGAAAAGCTCATGGGAAATAAAACAGTATTATATACATTGTTTCACACAAATTGATGCAAAAAACATTTGGCATTAGTTGATTGAAAGGACAGATGTTTGTATAATTTATGAAGCCAGAAATATATCCAGAATATTTTCCCAAAATAGTAAGGCATTCTAATAAAATAGTGGAGAATGCAGTTTAAAAGTTTGGGAGACACTAAGTTGTATATTGAATTTTGAATGGAGCAAAGAAAACTTGAAATATACTATTAATATTCTTAAAATTATAATCACTTGCGTCATAAGGTAACCTGATATAATGAAGAAATAATAGTACATTGTTTCTCATGAAACTTTTACAAAACCGAAAATATTTCTTTTTTTATTATGAATTTTAGCTGTCCTTCACTGGAACACTTTAGAAAGTTATTTTATTTTTCTTTTACTTTCCTTTCCTTTTATTTTGAGACAGGCTCACACTATGAAACTTATAATTCTCCTGTCTCAGCCTTCCTAAGTACTGATATTATAGGTGTGTACCATCATACCTGGCTTCATGAGAAAATTTTAAACAATTTATATAAGTCTGTTTCTTTTCAAAAAAAGTATGTTTGTTGTAGAAAAATACTTATTTTTGTAACACCTATTACTCTTAATTCTCAAAGATTAATTTTCATTTAAATAATATAAAATAAGCTGTCACTATTACTAATATAGTATTATTACTAATATGGTAGAGTTTACATGGAAGTAATTTTAAAACTATCTCAAGTATAAGTCAACATTTCTATTCTTTTTGTACTGTAGAACTAATCAACCATTAGTGCAAAGTCTTGCATCAAGGACATGACCTTTTATTTCTTTTTTTCTTTGCTAAAAATAAATGCTTGTCACCATGGCATTGGATGAGTCTGTAGAAGTCACAGGGTTACTGTATTTACATGGTGGAAAAAGTCCTAGTTTCAGCTATGATTTGAATTATTCATTATATTCAGTTCACTAAATTTCACACTATCATTATACTTTCTATTAAAAATATTTTTTCTATCAAAATTTTTTCTCATAAACTAGCTCTTTAATTGATTCATCATTCAAAATGAAATAGTTCAGGATAGCAATATAATTTATCTGTAATACAAACCCATGCATTGTGGAAAAATGGAGTGACATACACATTCTTCCTTCCATTTGTCCTTCCCTCATTTTTGTTTCAGACAGCAGTCTAAACTTCAGAGGAAAAAACACTGAAATAGTTTTCTAATAGATAAACCTTCAAATATACATTTTAAATGAGAGTTTCATAAATTTCCTAAAATGAAATAATATTTAAACATATATAATTCAATGTATAGCCAATGACACCTTGACTTTATTTAAAATAATTTATGAGCTAAGCTAAAGTTAAGAAACTATCTTGGAAAGCGATTGGGAATAACCACCCTGTACATACCTATGCATTAGGTTAATCCAGGGCTCCTGACTTTAGATCAGTGAAAGAGTAATTGTAACTTTTAAGTAGACATCAATTTTCTTCAGAACTATCTTCCCTGAAAGAGCCCTCCTGCCTGTCAGTCACAAAACCTACCAGGTAAGAAAGCTATGCAGCAGAGTGGAGTATATTACTAGGAATGATACCATGCCCTTTCATAAAAAGTCATATTTTGAGGGTAGTTGGAAAGAAGCCCATATGAAAGCAGCTGTTTTAAAGGGAAGAAGTGGTTTAGAATCTTTGGAAACCTGAATATAATGTCTGTCCCCGAAGTAATGAGATTCATCCTACATTTTACAGATTATCTATTACAAAGGGTTGTTCAAAAATTGAACTAGTAATATGAGGATGATTTTATTTTATCCGGAAAACTAAAGTTCATAAAGGTTACGTAACCAGTCCAGTGAGTGAAAGAACCTAGGTCTTTTACTTCAGTTCTATTCCTCTTTGAGTATTGATTGTATCATGCTGCCAATAACGTGTACCTTTGCAATTGCTGCAATTCATATACATAGAAATGCTTTATAATATATAAAGAAGAGTTTATATATATACATATTATATTTATTCTCTACTGAAATAAAAGTTTTAATCTAGCAGGTGAAAAAAATGGTTAATATAAGGAAAAAAAGGTAAGCAAAAATATTATTAATTGTACATTATTATTAAAATTATTATTATATTAAAATTATTATAATTGTACATTATTATTAAAAGTGATATTCATGTTGAAGTTCTGGTGTTTTTTAATCTTTTATATTACAATGTAAATATTTGAGCTTTTATATAATTTTCAAGCAAACAGCACAAAAATTGATTTATATTTATTTTTGATAAATACATGATGTTTTTAGCATGTAAATCCAGTTAATACATATATTTTACATCATCAATTGATTTCTGAAATCATTGGTAATTTTGCTAAATAGTGCAAAGGTTGTGCTGGGAATTTTTTCTCCAAAGTGAATTCATAAGACATTTTATGGTTTCAGTAAGTAATCCAGATTCATTTTCACAGTTTTCTGGGAAAGGAAACCAGAAAGTTTTCAGACATTTTGCTGTCAACAGGAATAGGACTATCAGTAATTACAAAACTATTGGAAAACAAAATTATACTGCCCTCTGGGGTGCCAGAATTTCAGTAGTAAAAGACGTGTAATCAGAGCCAAGCTTTGGAGTGACTTAACCCTGATTTTCCTTCTAGCTCAGTGCAAGTCCACACTCAAGTACTCAGCTGGGCTCTTTATTGCATTCAGTCTGTTTTGACCTCTTTGATGCTGTTCTCTTCCTATAGAAGTTGCCAGATCCCTCAGTAATTACAATTACAATTGCCCAGAACAAATGAGTGTTCTGTATTAGACACTTTAACTGTGGTATCTGCAAGTAAAAGTACTAGTGCTGAAACATTTTACTAGATTTCACATCCTGTGTAGAGAAATAAATCCTCTAATAAACAGAGATGGATACAAGTGAGAGGGCTTGGAACCCCAAATAACTGGTTAAACTGGAATTTCACATAGGATGACTTTCAGAGATATTATTATTTTCTTGGAGAGGAAGGGAACAGTATATATATACACATACATATGTATAAAATTTTTCATTTCTTACATTTTGTAAAGGTTCACTACTTGATTAAGCTGTAAGTCTATTCATAGGTATGCACTGCCTGGAAAACTTCCAACTAACTAACCTGAATGAAAGATAAAATGGATTGTGATAGCAGAATCTTGCTCCCTCTAATTAGTCCAGATCAGTGCGCACATGCCCAATTTAGGTCAATACATCAGGCAGAGGAAAGGGCTGCAGACTGACATTGAGATGCTCTATTTCACATACTTGCCCTCTGGAAGGACTGGCAGAGGCAGTCACTTAGATTAAATACAGGTCATCAAACAAGATATATCATCTATTTCTAAAACAGACAACTTCAGCATCTCAAATCCCTATGGCCTTTTACTGGGACACATTGCATTACTTCTTCATCTTCTTCTGTCAATTTACGTTAAAGTTTGCTTTGTTTAAAAGTGTATTTCATGTATTCTGTGACCTTCTTGCTCAAAGCAAAGGAATTTCTTTGGTTTATTTATGACCTACTCACCTTAAGCGAAACTGAAATGTCTAATGTTCTCACAGGGCGAGGAATGAGAAAGAAAAGCTAAAATAAATTTGGACTTGATGCAAATTAGTCTTGTCCTGCCCGCACAACCCCAAAATAAATATGTGGAAAAGATAGGATTAGAGGATATGAAATAACGACTAAAACCTCACATGAATTAGCAGAAAATTAAGTTGAATCAGCAAGCAGACAGTTTTTCTCATGGAACAAAAGAAATTTAGAAAATAGAGCCAGATCTGATTTTCTGTTGTAGAGAATTTAAACTATTAAGAGGCCTTTACAGGACGGGATTTAGCTCAGTGGTTCCGCCGCCTGCCTAGCAAGCGCAAGGTCCCAAGTCCAATCCCCACACCAAAAGAAAATAAAGAGCCTTTTACTGTCAACAAACTATGACTATTTCAAACATACATTCAGTTTAGGCCTGGAAAAGAAGAAAATTTAATTGCTACACTTATTTCTATTTTATGTATGTATCAATAAGAGTAATGTGATTTCTTATTGTAAGGAATGAATCATTATAAGATGTAAGAATGTTAAAAATATTCAAGATTTTTATTTTAAGAACTTGAGAAATTTAGGCTTAACTTGATTATACTGTGCAAAAAATTTCTAGGAGTATGTTTTGAAAAACAAATAACATGTAATTGATTGTAACTGCCCTATAGATTTGCTTATTAGTAGGTTAAATACATATTTTGTGTTAAGGCAAAATAGGCAGTTTGGAGTCTTTCATCACAGTGTTCCTGCTATTCAGATGTTAGCCTGATGTAGCAAGAGATGAATAAGATGATTGAAAAAAGTTGTGTATCAACCTGAAAATAATGCCACGGTAGACTGGCAACAAAACTGGAGCGGTATGCTTTCAGGTGTAATTGATAAGGGAAACAAGTGAATCCTCTGTCCCAGGATGATATTCTTTCTAGCAGCAACACTGAAATGTCTGCTGATAAAGCATTCTTCTTTTTTTGTTCTTTTTGTTTTTGTTTTGTTTTGTTTTTTTGGTACCAGGGATCGAACGCGGGTCCTTGAGCTGGCGAGGCAGACGGCAGAACCACTGAGCTAAATCCCCAGCCCGATAAAGCATTCTTTTAAGGAGTTGTATTCTGTAAGAAAATTGCTTATTTCAAAAGACACAAGTGCTACAAAATTTAGATTAATCACTGCTTTACCATAACTGTTTTTGTCTTCTCGGTACATATTTTCATAGATCCCTAGTCTCTGATTTCCCCTAAAAATTCAGAGAATGTTTCTTTCATGAAAAATTTGTCTAGAATGTATTTTTAAATTAGTTTTTAAAATACGGTTTTCTGAGTGAATGAAATATCAAAATGTATAGAACTTGGAATACATATTTCCCTAATATTTTTACAAATAATTGCATTGACTTGACTAGACCATAAAGTAGTATTCCAAATTAGAGTGATTACAACTATGTTGAGTGAAATTAACTGTATGAAATACTGACTTTGTATCCTGGATTTGAAATATCCAAAGGGATTTTTGTTTTAATTGACTATAGAAAATTATTGAATGTTGTTATAAAATATATTCATTAGAGTTCACAATAATTTAAAAACAGGCCTTGTTCATAAAACACTCTTACAAAAAGGAGATATGAAAAAATGTCTCTTTTATCCACCCAAATGTTAGAAATTTTAGATCCAAAACAATTGAAAATGAATAGTTTTTGTAGAATCCATAGATTGCATTTACCTTTCACTGTATTAATGAAATATTTGTGGTATAAAATAAGAAACATGGATTGAGCTGATTACTCTTTATTTGTTCAGTATTTTCTAAATATGATTGTTTCCAAGAAATGATACTAATTTTTAAATCCTATTTTAAAATCAAATATATTAGATATATATAAATATGCATATATAGTGTTGACATTTTTAAATTAAAATTCTCAAATTAGAGAAAATCCTGTTCAATTTTAGTATACCCTACATGCAATCTATATACCTACTATAAGCATAGCAATATTGAAATTATAAAATAATGTTTTGATTTGATACTTGGAATTACTCTGAATAACAAATTTCCCTGTCTTTAACTGCTAGATAATTGTTTGGGATTATGCCATGATAGGCTTTTTTTTTTTTTTTTAACTCAATGAAACAGATCCTTTCTTTCATATGATATTATATGGACACTTGCCGACCTCTTGGTTGGAGGAATCAACCTTCTTTCTTATTCTTTCAAAATTGATTGAAAATAAATTAAGTGTACAGCTAATGTGTGTGGATTTTTTTGTCTTCCAACCCCTTCAGATACTTACAGAGGCTGTAAAGTCAACAGAATTCTGAGTTTAGAGGTTGCTTCAGTGAACATTCAACGCTGTCGGTGAGTTTGGAATTAAAATCAAAACCATCGACCGTTGATTGTACCCTAAGGCCAACCGTCATCTACTTCCTGGTTCCCAGAATTTGCTGAAGAAAGAAAACCAAAGCCGAACCCATCAGAACACTCTCATCCCTGTGCAGAGATTGTAACTGAAAAGGTCACAATCAACATTCATTGCTGTCGGTGGGTTGAATTGTGTAGACAAGCTCACTGGACAATGAATGCAACTGTGGCCCCACTTTTTGCTATCACAATCAACAATATTCTGTCTTTGAAAGATGTACGACGTGGAGTAGTATCATCCTGTAAGTTTTTCAGTCTGTCTGAGTCTTCAGGTTTATTTTTCCAATTTATATCATACATTCAGTGAGAAAGCAGTAGCTTAAACAAGAATAATGCTTCTTTAACCTTCCATATGTTATAAATACAGCAATTTTTTATAAAAAGTAAACTGGCCCGTAGAATCTATAACATAACCAACATAACCATCTGGGTTAGCACACTGCCCACTGTTGCAATGTGGGGAAAAGAAGACATGAAGAAGCTAGGAAAAAAAAATCAGCACCTATGTCATCAGCATCTACATCTCCAACACTTAGAGATCTCCTCCATTCTCTGTGTTTCTGGTTAGACCGCCTGGTCAAATGGGGATAGAAACACTAGGTAATTTATCTTTCTGCTTCTCTGGATGGGAACTTACTAAAATACTTTCTCTTGCCATGGAATTTACTAAGAAAGGAAAAAAAATATTTGTAATCAAGTATTTGAAAATTTATGGTAATCATATAGTACATTGATTTCCTTAATTAAATCTCAAGCTTAGGATGAAATTTACCTATTTCTCCTTCCAAAAACATGATCTGACTCATTAGACTTATGACCATGTCCATTAACTGAATCATACTCATCACATTTTATAAGTAAAGCTATACATGTGTATATATATCATTTTTTCTTATGTAGTTTGGTTCTATATTCATAAATAGAACATTTGTTATTAAATTTGATCTCAGTGGCTTTAAGTTTACCATTTGTAATGGTAATAGTAGTTACATTATTATTTACAGTAATAAAATGTTTCTAATATATATGTTTGGAGTATCTGGTATCTGGAATACTTCAACATTTATTTTTAAAATCTGTCAGATATTCTTTTTCATTTTTTGAACTTTTAAATTTCATTTACCTTTAACAACTGTTATAGAAAGCCATTCCTGGCTCCTTTCTCTACCTTTCATCATAATCCTAAAATATTTTGCCACATCCAATACCTGAACTCCTATAGCTCACTCTCTACCTATCGCTTCCTACCTTTCTAGCTTCTCAGTTTCTTATCCCCAAGGCAATATCATTCAGCTTCCTTGCTGCTGGAAAAAAATCACACACTCACATGGAAGCATGTTGGCACATGTTCTTCAGCCTCCAGGTGCCTGGGTCTCGCAGCCCTAATCTAGAATTTCTTCCATACCACTGTCTAGTAGTTAGCCAAAATGTTGACCTCTTTCCTCAGCTGCTCCTCTCTACCACTGGACTTTGAACAGATGAGCTGTACTCTTCATTTTATTGACAAGCTTTGTCCCTTTACAGGCTTTTAAAGTGAATAGTCTGGAAATACTATGCAGTAGCCTGCAGCACTGTCTATATGTATTTACTTAGCATTTTATCTCAGTGATCAGCACTTTGGCTGCTTCACCCATTTCTCTCTCCTACTTGTGTATAGTTTCATTTTTCTAAAGCTGTTTGACCAAATTACTAGTGTGCACCATCTTATCAAGTAAATATCACAATTCTCTAGCAATTACCCAGCTTGAACTCCCATTCAAGTCTTATGCTACTGAACCCATCTTCCTGAATGCCCATCTCCATTGACTTTTGTGACCTTGCTCTCTTGGCAGTCTATAACACTGATGTACTGTTTGGTTTTGCTTTCGGGGTTTGTGGGGTTTTTTTTCTGTTTTGTTTTTCAGTTGGTTTAATCTCTGAGTGCCGAGATCTTTATGAGACACACTTGGGCCTTCTGGCTTTCTTCACACATTCCTTATAAGCATTGATGGAATCTCAGGGACATGCATGTTGTGTATATCTGCTTAGATGATGCTGGCATTCAAGTTTTTATCTCCAGGTTAGCTGTCCTAAGCCTATTTATCTGTCTTCTGCTCACAGCATAAGGCCAGCCATGACCACAGCTAACGCATTTTCTCTTCTAGATCACATTAATTAGCAAAGCCATAAATCTTGAAATCATCTCATTCTCCTGCTTCTGTCCTTTTCTGCAAGTATAATTATGATTACAAATTTTAAATACAAATTATAAATACAATATTTTCACTTATTATTATGTTAAAATTTCAATTTTTCTCTGTACTTCTACTACATTAGTTTTAAATAGATAAAGTCTTACTTGAACTATTCCAATAATCTCCTAATTAATTCTGTATCTACTATCACCTATCTATTTAATATCTTCTCCTTATTATTATTAATTATTTTTTTTTGGCACTGGGGATCGAACTTGGGTCCTTAAGCTTGCGCTGCAGGCAACGAAACCACTTAGCTAAATCCCCGGCCCCTCCCCATTATTTTTGAAAGGAGAATTTTTAAAAATCTACCCATGTTGTAAAACCCTGTAATTCACTCTACCTGGAGTATTCTAACGTGTTAAGTAGATGGATTGTTCAAATAGAAAAATGTTATGAAGATGAGATAAATAAGAAAAGAATGAAAATTTATATGGAACTTCATATAACTTCTCAGAATTTTTCAGTACATTAAGAAATTAGGTGTAATTTTTTAAATTTCTAAAGAGTAATTAAAAATTTATTGTTATTTAAAATGGTAAAGACAGAAGATTAATGTACTGAATATATAAAAATATTGATGCAAAAAAAGTAGCGAGGAAAATATTAACAACTCAAGAGATAAATGAACAATGGGCATGAACTCTAGTCACAGAATAAGTACAAATGAGTGATACATATATGATATAAAATTCTGCTTCACTCATGAAAATTCAAACTTACTTAGATGTAATATATCTTCAGTGAAGCTTACAGATGAAGGAAATGATGGGGAATAGTGATGCTGACATGAATGTTTTTATGCTATACTAGATGTGCATATCTTTGGTTTCTGCTTAAACTTACTTTTAGGGTTCCTCTCACTTCTTTTTGAACATGTCACTTTACACCCTCCTGTCTAGGATGTGTTGGACCAGCGTCACATACCAGCATCAATTACTAGGGAAAATTGTCCATAAGACTGGCTGAGACTTCCATATTTCTCTTGTTAGGAATTTGAACTAAAATATACAATCAGGAGGTAGTAGATATGTATCGTGACTATAATATTATAAAGGTATGTGATAGATTAACATTGTATTTTGTTTATGGGTCTATAAAGCAGAAGTAGAAGATTAATAAAGAACAGCAATGAAAACAAGACATGACTGTTTCTCATTTACCTGAGAGATAAATAAAATAGGTTAAACTCAAAAAGTTCCAGGTACAGACCTCCTTGTCCCAGCTCTCTTTGCTGTGCTCCTTGATGCCTGTTTTGGATATCTATATACTTTAATGTCTCGAAATAAGTCTGACATTGTTACTTATGACTGATGTCTCTTTGCCTTTAAAGCCATACAATTCCCATGAGAATATAAGGTGAGATGAACTTTATGGAAACAATTTGCCCCTCTTTAATAAGAAATTCAAAATACTTTTAAGCTTTTAAATAACAATTTTATTTCTAGGATTCTTATTTAGTCATTATGTTAATGGACAAATAATAATTGTATATACTTAGGGAGTAAAATGTAATGTTTGATGTATGTGTACATTACAGAAAGATTACATCAAGCTAATTAACTTATCAACACTTCACCAATTTATCATTTTTATGGGGTGATAATGTTTTAATGTCTGTTAACAATTTTAGTGTATATGTTAATATTAATCGGTAATCACCTTTCTATTCTGTGTCTATGGGATTGATATTTTTAATTTGACATATAAGTGAGAGCATGCAGTAGTTGTTTTTCTGTGCTAGGCTTATTTCATTGAGCATAACATCTTTTACTTGTATCCATGTTGAAAATATTTTTTCCTTAAGAATACATAGGATTCTGTATTGTATGAATAATGGCAAAATGAACAAGGTAGGGTAGATATTGCTTTGGCAAACTGATTTTAATTCATTTGCATATATATACCAAGGACAATCATTGCTGGATCATATCTTAGATCTGTGTTTAGTTTCTTTGAGGAACTTTCATACTGTTTTCCAAAATGACTGTATTAACTTACATTTCCACCAACACTGTTCAAGGGTGCCATTTTCTCGGCATCCCAGCCTATCCATGGTTGCCACTTGCTGCCTTTTGTCTTTTTGATAATAGACAGTTTAACAAGTGTGAAGTGATATCTCATTATATATAGTTTTAATTTGCATTTCCCTGATAATTAGAGCTGTTAAGGATTTTCATGTATCTGTTGGCTGTTAATGTATCCTCTTTTAAGAAATATCTAATCAACTCTTTTGCCTGTCATTTATTTATGTTCTTGCTACTGAGTTGTATGAGTTCCTTATATATTTTTGGATGTTACTCCCTCATTAGATGTATGACTTGCAAATACTTTTCCTCATTTCCCAGGTTATCTCTTCACTATGTTATTTCCTTTGCTGTTCAGGAGTTTTTTTGATTTGAGGCAATTCCATTTTTCTATCACAACTTTTTTGTCTGTGCTTTTAGATTTCTATACAAGAGATCTTTTCCCAGATCACTGTTGCATAGCTTTTCCTTATGTTTTTCTAATAGTTTTATGGTTTCAGGTCTAGGTCTTTCATCTATTTTGAGTTTATTTTTTGTGTATGGTATGCAATAAGAATCCAATCTTATTTTATGCGAATATTACTTTTCTCAGCATCATATATGGAAGAGATTGACCTTTCCCCATTACGTGTTCTTGATAACTTTTTTGAAAATCAATTGGCCATAAATACTTGGGAAAATTTCTCGGCTTTCTATTTTGTTCTGTTGGGTGACATGTCTATGTTTGTGGTGGCAGCATGCTTTTTATTATTGTAATAGCTTTATAAGACATTTTAAAATTA